AAATATTAAATCGACGAAACCTACATCTCGACATGCTTCTTTCACATTTTAAACCCTTTTTTAAATTATTTCGAGAAAATCAAGTCTCATATCAAACCTTGAATGAATCTAATATAGAACCAAAAGACAGTCCTTAATCATCCAGTATTTATTTTCTCCTTAATTTGTGTAATTATATTGTGTTATAGTATTTTTTTACTTAGTATATTAATTGTATTATGTTAATGTCGGTCACTGTAAAAGCAAACACCTTATACACATCATTTCTAATTAGGGTTAAATGCCTCACATCAGGCTACCTATAGTATAGTAACATATCTGACCATACTCTTTATATAGACGAGCTTTTATTTATTATATTTGAATTTATTTATCTTATCTTATTTCATTATTATTATTATTATTATTATTTTAACAGCAGATTGTCTAGAATACATTCAGGTTGATACAAAAAGATATTCAGCCCATAGTCGTCATACACTCTAAAAAATGCTGGGTTGTTTCAACCCAATGTGGGGTCAAATATGGACTAACCCAACTGTTGGGTTAAAAAGCTAATTTAAAAATTTAACCAAAATTTAACCCAACAGTTGGGTTAGTCCATATTTGACCCAACATTGGGTTGAAACAACCCAGCATTTTTTAGAGTGTACTGTACACATTCTTTATAATCATCATCACTATTATTTAAATTATTATTCTTTTGAGTAACTGATTATACACCAGTCCGTTTTAGACACTCTAAAACATTTACATCAAGATTAAAGGCCTTGTTGCACAGTGCAACACTTGAACAAAATCTTTTTCTAAATGTCAAATCAGTGGAAATATAGATTGTGGTGGCTAATCTTAAAGAAGTGCCTTGTGTGTAGTAGTATATTTGTGGTTGTAGGCCTACATTTATCGCGAGGATGGGAAGCTACTAGAAGAGTTTATCACTCCAAGGGCAAGGGTATGATTCCTGAATAAGGTCCTAAAATCAACATAATCAATTAACGCACAATAGAATGGATACAACGTAGCTATCTGTATATGAATATCCCCGTTACTCCCCCCGACTCATCAAAAAAATACAGTGCACGTCCTCACCACCCACACCACACACTATGGATTTGGGCCAAGCCAAAGCTCTAAGAGAAACCGGAAGAAAGAGGGCCTGCGGTTCCAGGCGTCCGGCTCCATTCACAAGCGAAACCTCCAATGGCTTCATTAGAAGTAACGAGTTGACACAAGGTAAATCTAACATTGAAGCGCCATTCACTTGGTACGCAGAGAACCCTCATTAAATGTCGCTAACAAGCCGTGCAAATGCAGTGATTGGACAGCTCCCGTATAACTCAGCAGACCTAGCAGGATGCCCACTTAATGAGACCACACAAAAAATGGAGGGAGGGGGAGGGGTGGAGGGGGGCATCTCTGTTGAAAATGGTGCTCCCATTTCGCCTCCTGTTTCCCTCCCCCAGTCAAAAAAAAGGGGGGGGGGGGGGCAAATCAACTTTATATTCAGGGT